ACAGCAAATACACCCCAAAACCCCAAAACCCCAAAACCCCTTGACTAAGAGTCATTTACTTGATTACGCAATAATAACTTTGCTAATGAATATAAATAACTAATATTCTGATGCTTAATTTTGATCTGTGGTCTATAATTTTATCATTTGTCCAGGGAAAGTTTTGCAAGTCTTTTTCCATAAAGTCTGTTTCCTATGTAGGATAGCAAAAAAGCTCCGAATCCACATGCAGCTGGTATCACAGCGATACACCATTTCAAGGCTACCTCATTATCTATCCAACTAGCAGTTATTCCAAAAATAATCACTCCATTAGCAACTTTATCAAAGAAACTATAGGCACCATATACAAAGGCTGAACTTTAGTCGTCTCTGCCTATTACATCTGATATCAAACTTGTCGCTGTGTTTATCATAATTGCTAAACCAACTCCTTAAATGGAAGAGAGTAAATAGACTAACCATCTAACATTTGGATCAGAATTCAAAAATAGGTAGGGAACTGAACCTGCTGTAATAACGATAACAGATATCAATAGTGGTATGAATCTGTTTCTAAACCTTTGCATCATTCTTTTGTAAACAAACAGGGAAAATATCAAAGAAGTTGTATATGATACAAGAGGTACTAATGCTATAGGGAGAGGAGTAGGATCATCCTCTGTTTCAATGAATCCTGTTACTTTTATCAGGTAAAAGGGTTGCACTGACATTGTTACATTGACTGCAATTCTTACCATGCAATAAACAGCTCCATAAATGTAGAAATGACCTTCTTTTAGCCAGTCACTCCATACCTTCATCTAAACTGACAACATTGAGCTCTTAGGTTTCTAAGTCAAAGCTTTTTGTTCTTCTTCAGAAAGATGAGGCTAATGTACCTTGAGGTATTCTTTTTAGAGTCTCTTTGCTGATTTCGAAAGATAGGGTTCTCTAATGTTAGTCATATAGAACATACTTGTTATGAATCCAATTCCCACTATTATAAAGCAAAGTATCCTGAATTACCAATCTTGACTGTCAATTGTAGCAAATAAGATCAGCGCAGCAGTTAATACTGTAAAGTTTGCAATATATGTGAAACCATTTCTAAGAGAAATCAATCTGTCTCTTCTTTGAGTGCTAAACGTCAATGAATTTACGACAGACATATTTGAGATCTGAACACAAGCCCATCCTACATTAAAGACTGCAGGTAAAGTGATGTAATAAGCTATTTCACCAGGACTATTCTTTTCAAAGTCAGGTTTAATAAAAATACCTAAGAACGTTGGAATAACAAGGAATGTGCCGAAAATATACCAAGGGGCTCTCTTTCCAATTCTAGACTTAGTTTTATCACTAAAGAATCCAACTACTGGAGTCGTAAGCCCATCTGCTATTTACCCTGATAGCATGACGAAGGCAGCAATCACTGCATCAAGTTTAACTACATTCTTTACAAAATAAAGCACGTAGGTGAACCATGCTGCTGCACAAAGGTCATTACTAAAATGACCAACTGCATAAGCAGCGACATGTCTTGGTGTCAAAGCATCTCTCTGCATATTTTGTTAATTGGGATCACATTCTGGTTATTATCCAATATCCTTTGCATACTCTATTTTCTTCTAGCAAATTTTATCAATGTTTTATGCTTTATCCTCAAAATTTGCTGTATTATCTGTAGATATTCCGGCTTTAGTTAAAGTTTGCATATTTGAATAGTTTATCAGTTTATAATCATTTGTATTTTAATCTTGCTCTCCACTGCTCTCCCCTTAAACTATGAGGGGCTATCCAGAGTCATCTTCCATTATGTAAAATTAATTATATAGTTAAATTTCAATTGGAGATTAGTTTCTTCGCAAATCAAATTACAAATTATGCTGAGTGGGGTTTTGGGGTTTTGGGG